ATTTTAATGGTCAACCAAAAGGGTTTGTTTAGGTCTTTTACGCTCTCGCTGAGCACGCAGTCTACTAGTCTGCTGTTGTACTCATTCCTGCTAACCGGGTTTTTTTTTAGCCCAAAAGGGCAGTTTGTGCAGAAGGACTGTTAATTTCGTTTTGGCACTTTGCGTGTTGCCACCAAATATTAGAGGCCTGTATTATATTTAAAGAAATTAAAAAATGAAGAATCTCTGCATAAATGTATGTATGTTTCTCTCATTGTGATAAAACGGTACCTAGAGCCAAACGTAATCCTCCACGGAATACTTGCATCTGGAAGCCCAAATCTGGAATTTGTTTTATTATCTATTTCATACTTCGTAAAGCATTTATGAGTTTTGGAATAAGAAACCCAACGATTTCAAAGCAACCAATGGCAACACTTTAGAGAATAAAACATTTTTATCTCCAGTGGACGAGACTGTCTATCGGAAATTCTAAAGATGGGCGTAATATGAAATCAGAAAGCTTTCAGATTTTTTTTTTTTTTTTGACTTTTTACCTTTATTATTAAGCATCGTTTTCTTTGCACTTACGCCCCATGCAGTTCAACACTAAAACCACAACATTTTTAAAAGCTGAATAGCAGCATATAAGCTCTAGATGCAGTGCTAAGTGTTGGCATACATTTTAATATTTAGTTTTTTTCCAGTTTGTTCAGTATTCAGTTTTCTTAGTAAGATGGTTAACAATTTTTTTCATAATTAATTTTTTATGTGTTATTTATTAAGTATCACGTTCATCTAACTTACACGATATAAAATTCAGTTCAACAGCAAAATCACAATATATTTAAAAACAGCATATTTATATTCGCTACATTATTTTTTTAAAAACTAGCCGCATAATATAGTTATCATAAAAAAGACAAAGTACGTAAGGATTTTCATGAGTCTGTTAATACAATTTCATAAAAATATTGAATACGTCTAATTAGACATGTCATGATTTTAAAAATGTTTACTTAAATCAATCATATCAGAAAGTAGTAAAAAAAATGCTGTCAAGAACTAGGCTTGTTGCTTTTAGAACGCTTAGTTTATTTTTCAGTAACTTACAAGATTAAATATGAAAGTATCTTAGGTCCCAATCACATTATGTTTCGGCTACGCGGGACTTGACGTCGAAAGGGACAATTCTCAGAACCCGCATATTTCCAGGAAACCCACGTAGCTAAGTTACCATTTTCACTCATTACAAAGACTAGAACGCCAAATACCAATCGATTATCGCTCAGATAGGGATCATGTGATGCTTCAGATGCAGAACTTTCATCTGATTGGTTGTCTCTACCCAGAACAAAGGTTTAGCCGAGACATTTTCTGTGAGGTTTGATAAAATTCCGCGTAGCCGAAACATTGTTTCCGTAGCTAGGCGGGACTTTGCTTCAGGGGGCTCTTTTTTTTCTAGGAATCCTCGAGTTTAAACCTGTACTACCAGAATCTCGTTTCTCAGAAATGTCCCTTCTACCAGGAACTGTAGCCATGTGTGATAACCTTAGGCTTTACTGAATAGCAACACGCTGACGTGAGGAAGATAAAAGAATTATTTTACTTCTAGCAACGGCAACACATTACTTTCATAGAGACGACTTTGTTAATTAAAATTAAAAGATAAATAAATATATTACACTTTTTACGATCGGCAGCACTCTCATGCGCTGAGATAAAAGTGTTCTGTTTCGAGCATTATTGCCACTGCTCCCTTTGAAATTCATTGCAGTATACAAAATATGAAATAGATGATAAAACAAACTAGAAATTCAAAATTCGGGCTTCCAGGTGTACATGTTTGGATGAAGGACTATAATATTCAAAATTTAATAGCTGTAGGTAGCCTCGTTTTTTTTAAAACGCGAAAAACATACATTCATACAATGAGAATCGTCATTATTTTATCTCTTTAAAAATAATACACGGTGATATGTGTCGGCAACAATTTGATAAGGGATACACCGTTTATAGTGAACCAAAGCAATGCGTTTTGTAGTAAACTGTAATAATTCCTCATATTGATGAATTTAATTTTAAGTTTAATACTAGGGCTGATTTTTTGGGGGGATTTGGTTAATTGAAATGTCAGTAACAGATTAAATATATGAATAAAATTAAACGCTCCAAATGATATGTTTTGAAAATTGAGAACTGCAAATAATATACCACTATTTTCTCTTTTAATTTGCAAAGTTCATTCCAAATTAAGTACCAGAATCATACCTAGTTACTTCTTTGATTTATGTTTCAAAATATAGCTATTGATTATTGGATCTTAATAACAAAATATATAGAAACAAAATAATACACAAAATAATTACATAAATATAAAACAATACCAGTTAAATAAAAAATTATTATACCTATTTTCAGGTATCTTGTAATTTATACTTTGTTTTACATATTTTGTATATATATATATATATATATATTAAGGATTCCATATTAACTATAACGTATACTATAACCAAAAATTACATCAATAATGTATTTCTGAGTATGATTAACTTCATTCTTAAGAATTTTCTGCAGTCCAGATCGCATTATTTTATAAGTACGGAATCAAAAACAATTAAATTTTTACATGGCGTTAGATAATTAACCAAAAAGTAGCGACCGCGAATGTATTTGTAATTTGGTAAACGGTTCTTGGACGTGAAAAGGTTGAACGACATTTGAGATACGACTATTTTCTCAGATACTCAGATATTTCGTATACATGTAATATAGCATTACACTACAAATACATTGATGAAACAAATATGTGTCTTTCTACTCCTATACTACTGCGAAACTTTTACTACTCATTTCTTATATGATAAAATTTGATGTGGCTGCAATATAAAATCACTTCCTGAAACTGGAATTTCTGCGAATTCTAGTGAACTTCAGGAGGCCTGACTTTTCGTATCTAAATTTTTGTAGCCATTACTCGCCTCAACAAATTCAGGACTTGTTCTCACAATATATATATTAAGAAAGTCTGGTCAAACAACAGTCTGGCCTCGGTTATAGCTAATGACCTGAAAGCTGTCCTTCAGAGGGTGGTGTAGTGGTGGTGGTGTATTTAATTATGGCAAAGCACACGAGGGCTATCTGCCTAAGGGGAGAGATGCCTTCGTGGAGGACATTCTAAGGGAAACTGGCTCGTATGCATGTTACACATGGGGAAAACCACGAAAGCGCCCATGCAGCCAGCCCGTTCGCGGGATTCGAACCTCGGACCGAACTACCGGTGTTCAGTGACTTTACCGCTCAGCCGCTGGTAGGCACTCCTCCAGAAGGAAATCAAAACTAAAAGAAAAGAGCCACCACATAAGAACATTCAAACCGCAACAGAATTAACTGCTCAAATTAACAAGTAAAAATTTCAAAAAAAAAAAAAAATGAAAGCTTTCAGATTTTACATTATGCCCAAAGGGGCGTTTTATTAACGTTTTGTGTGTTACCTTCCTTTATCAAATATCATGTTCTTTATACTTAAAATTCAATTCAACAGCAATATCGCAAAATAATTTTAAAATGAGTATAGCTTTAAATTTCCGATACACAGTTTTGCGCTCTGCACATAATTTTTTTTTTTTTTCTTGTACTGTATTGCCGTTGCTCGCTCTGAAATATTTGAGTTTGTTACTCAAAATTAGTTCAAGTTTTATAAAATATGAATCAGAAAATAAAAAAAATTCCATATTCCAAGTTTGGGCTCCCAGATGCCCATATTAGGTTGCAAACGTACGTTACTCAAAATTTGATGGCTCTAGGTACCGTTGTTTTATCACAATGCGAGAAACATTTATGCAAATTTTTCAATATTTAATTTCTTTAAATATAACACAGGGCGATAACATTTAGTGGCAACAGAATAACAACACAGCTTCAAAACATCGGGTTAGCCATGTTGGCGCGTTTATTGCCCATTGAAAAACGATCGCCAAGCAGTGGGCTAAACCGCATTTGAACCTGAGATTTAAATTAATGTAATTAACAGGGAAAGTACAGAATCGCCTACTGCTTGGCGCGTTTTTAAAAATTGCACATACTTGGTATCCATGTACGCATCGACCTATTTTCACTTAAAAAAACATCCCAGAATTGCACAAAAATGACATTGTGCACTCCCTTGACTTTATCCATGTACACATCGACATATTTCACTTAAAAAGTCAAAGAAAATTGACAAAAATCGAGTTCTTCTTACTCTTGTAAAAAGCGCAAAACAAACGCCAAACAAATAAGTGGGCGATTCTGCACTTTAGCCGTAATTAACAATTAATTAGCCAAAATGCAGTCACCCGCTGGCATGGGATCGCCTGCTCATATTGGATAATATAAATATGCGAAATATTTGCATTTAGACAAACTTTTGTACAATTTACAAACGGAAATTTTATACACAATTAATCTTACACAGTATATTGAATGAAATTGCCAATTTATTTTTAAGAAAACTAAGCTAACTAAATATAGCACCACTAACACATATTCGTTAGCATTTCACGTGATACGCGGTTTTCGAACATGAGCATTTGTGAGGGATTGGACGAAATTTCCTTTTTCCCTGTCATTCCGAAACCCGGAGATGAGCAAAAGGGAGGTTTGACGTCTAAACGCTTGTAACACAGAATGCCGAAACAAAAACAATAGTCTCTCAGGCACAAAGCCCCTTTGAACTAATAATAATAATAATAATAATAATAATAATAATAATAATAATAATAATAATAAATAACCAAATAAAATAAAAACGAAACTGCCTCTTTTTTTACATTGCATATCAGAAAATCATAAAATTAATATTCCTAAATCGCATTTCACTATATAAATATTAGTTACTGTATTCTGAAATTTATTTGTTTATTAATGTCTTCAATTATCAAGCCATGCAGGAAATGTCACCGTGGCATTTAAAGACCGACTTTTGTCAGACCGTAACTGGTAAAATATAGTGTCTGCCAGCTGTTTGAAAACAAATAGTGTGTTTCAGTTCCGTTAATTGAACTTAGTATCATTTTGAACTTTTTCTCCAGTTTACAAATGATTATATTTAATCACGATGAAATAAATTTATCTTTTGGGTTTGTGTGATTATCAACATTGCCACCTTCAAAATAAATTTAGCGTGAAGGAATATTTCGATTTTTGAAATTGAAATATATGTAACCTATAATCAGTTTATAAAACTTATTCTTTATAACTAGATACTTCATAAGCTTCTTAACTCATTAATATCATCCATATGCCTTCTGATGTAAAGCCTTTATACTTCTTTCCGTCTTAATATTCGTAGGAGTGCATTTGGAATCCTGTATATTATCTAATATGTCAACTATCCTTAAAGACATCATATAATGGAATTCGCACGAGCTGTGTTTGGAAAATCTCCTGAGGGCTACAGTGGAAAGAATACAACAGGTTATTATGAATTTTTCTTAATTGATGTGTCTAAGATTTAATTATTTTTCTTTTCATATTCATACATACTTATATAGTATATATTTATCGCTCTTTATTGACATCGAAATTTTTATACCCATCACATGTATAAATAAACAAATGTTATTGAATTCTTGAGTTCTAAAAGTGTATGCACTCATATGCATTTACAGTGGCTCACATTTGTTTTTGGACACATGTACTTTTTTTTATTTTTTTATTTTTTTGCCTAGTTCTGGTACTAAGTATTGAATCATAGCCTCAAAAATACTTCTTAGTATATTACTTTGTTCTCTGTTTTAAGACTTGCTTGTTATAAAATAAATATCCTTTGCAATAAAATGATTTATTCCAAATGTGATAAGTCAATAATTTGGACATTTAAAAGTTTTGTTATGTTTTGGAACATGTTTCTTGTTTTATATATATATATATATATTTTTGTTTTAAATAAAAATAAATCACAAAATTATCAACATTTAGAAATTATTCATTGTTTTGAAAATATATTAACAGTTCCATATCTGAAGTGAACAGGGCGAGTTGCTGCTGCAAATTAATAGCAAATTTTGTTTAAAATTTGACTATTCACATTTTAAAGATGCTAGAGGTATTCAAAAATTATATATATATATATAATAAAAATCCTTGATGCAAAGCATTCAACTATCTTTGGTAAATTAAACAATGAAAATTACATGGAACTTTTCAAAATTCCCTAAAGTCTGGACTATATTTCAGGTTAATACAAAAGACTTGAATATTACCCTATGAGAAGATAGATAAAACCCAAAAATTAGGGCTATAAAACTTGCAGCAGATTTAGAGGAATGGCTTCGAGTAAATCTTAGCCTGAAAATGTTAGAATAGTCATCGGGCACATGGATACAATAGGCGATCATCAAGAAAAATCTTTATCATCAAGAAAACAATGAAAATACACCTGTTGTTCACAAATTTCATAATAAGCAAAAACTTTTCATATTGAAATAATATACTGCATTTGCAGAGGATTCAAAATTTAATATATTTGAGTCGGTTGATTACATTATTGTGAGGGGTGAAAGCGAAATAAAGAACTGAATCTGGAAAATTTATTGACTGTTGGTAAAAGTGTAATAGTTTAAGTATGTTTTGCTGCCTTTGGTATGGGAAATTTGCATTTTATATAAAGTAATATGGATCAGAATAAATATATAAGTATATGTAATAAAAACCTGAAAGCATCTGCAAGGATATTTGAAATGCAAAATATATTTAAGTTCTAAACATTCTTTTGTGGATTTTTACAACTATCTTGAATTTATCAGCTCTCCTTCATATCCTTTGACTTTAAGTCTTATTGAACATATGTGGAGGAAATTGGAAAAAAGACTAAGTAAATGACATTTCTTTAAATGCTTTAATAACCCTCTGAGCAGCCCAGATTTTTGGATCTGTCATGAAGACCTATATCTAAAGAGCTTTTATTATCTAAATTTGTATATTTACCTATTTTAGTCTCTATTTTCATAAACTTACATTCATTAAGATGGCATTTATGTTATTAATGAAAGTAAGAAAGCAAAATATTTTAAATTATAAGCTAGTATATGCCAAGTAACAAAAATTCTCATGACCGGATGGCTGGCCGTGGCACTCAGTGAGTTAAAAGGAATTGTTATGGAGGACTAGAAAATGTACCATTCTTACTCAAAAGCATTATTTAAATTCGTACCAAAGCATATTAAAATTGCAGTTAAATAATGAAGAATTAGATGTCTCATTATTTTCATGTTTTTATTAAATATAAACTGGCTATTCAAAGTGCTTGAATACTTATGCGAGTTCATTTTCAAAACGTTTTTAATAATTTTTTTTGTCGAAAACATGCCGAATAATTATTTAAAAAACAAGCAGATTTTAAGAAAGATGGTCGATAGTATACATAAATACAAAGTCATTTCACTAATATTTGGTAACTGATATTTGCAAATGAAACTGAAAAATGCGAGCCTCTGTATTTATCATATATTTTAGTATGACAGAGTCTGTATATTTTGAAATAAAAAATATCTGTTAACTGTTTGTAATCTTAAAAGAAATATTTTATCTTGTGTTTTCAGTAGTTTCTTTCAAATAATATATTTATTTATGGTTAAATAACTTCTCATTTTAACTAAAGCCTTGAGAATAGAAGTCTCTAATTGTTATTTTTATCCTTGCATCTACTGTATGTGTGCATATTATTTATTTAGTGTGGCCAAATTTTATGCACAGAATGCTTTGTTAATTTAATTAATTAAGAGGTTCAAAATATTTTGCTTTCATTTGTATATTTTTAAATCGAAGACATTAATGAACATTTTTTTTCTTTTCATCCTGAAATCATTTAAAGATAAGTTTACAGTTTTATAATATAGCAAATACTGTGAACTTGAATACATTCATTGATACATTTTTATTAATAGATTGTCATTTGTGCATGAGAGAAATAAACTTTTTATCATCTTCCCTTCTATCATCAATGACTTTTAAGTCGTTGAAAGAGAATATATTCATATTCTAGTTATATTATATTCCCCCTTTCTCTCTCCCTCTTTTTAAGCTTTGCTCATTTCGATATATTTGTTCACTTAGTTGAAACCTTGTCTGAAGATGAAGATGATCCGTATGCTGGTGACATTAGTGAATCTATTAGCATTCGTGCAAACTTGTTTGTATCACCATCCAGTGGCCAAGGTTATTCACCTGCTCCTGGTGGCCCATTTTCAGCACTCACCCCTTCTATGTGGCCGCAAGATCTACTTGCCACTCTAGCTCAGGTAATTCTATTTTACTATTTAACCATTATTTTGACAAATGTATGGAAACATGTAAGTGCAAATATTGTTTTCTGATATTGGTAAGAAATGTAGCAAAAATTTATCTGCAGATATTTACAGTAAAAGCATGACTATCCAGAAATCTCAGAAAATGTCAAATTCGGGTTAACTGACCATATGAAAATTGCATTTCATGGTAGAAAAGGCAAATGAATAGAATAGAAAGTTTCTGGTCTAAGATTATAGTCATCTTATTTATTGTCAACTTGAATATCAAGTGCATGTGTTTAAATTTCATGAGATTTCAAAAGAAAAAGGGCATTTCAGACATAAATGAAGCAAAGTCTCATACTCCATTATAAACTTTTGTAAACAATGAAATATGGCAAAAATCTCACCAAACTTGTGTCAGTCATTCCAGCAGAAGTTTGAAAGAACAAGATCACTCATTATTTAGTTAGGTAATCAATATCTACAAGTTACAGAATATAGCATATAAAAAAAATTAAATCAGTTGTAATTTTTTACATTACTCATCTGGTGTTTATGCATTTTCACATAAATGACACTTTTCTTAATCCCAGGATTCCCTAATGATGACATGTTTGAATGTTACAAGATTTTTCTTTTGGTTTCAGTTTATTTGGATATATACAGTATTTACTATATAAATTTAAGATATTAAAAGATATCAGTATATCATGAGGCACAAACAAAAATAAGCATTTTTTAAAACAAAAAATTTTGAAAGATTAATATATAAAATATTAAATATTAGTATATATATTTTATTATTATTTATAATATCAGTGGTGCAAAAATGCTGGATATCTTTGAAGCTATCCAGAATTTTTGCAAAGAAGCAAATTAATTTTATTATTGATAATAAAATTATTATTGATAATAAAATTAATTGGCTTCATTAATCAGAATATGTTATAAACATTCATTTGTATCTACATATAAGAAAAATTTGTTATTAAATTTGGCTTGTGAAAACTGTTGGAATTTTGTTTGTTTACATTCAAAATTGAGGTTAATTACTGCATTCATAAATTGCTAGAATCTCCTCTATTAGAATAGTGAATAACTATAAAGTTAACACACAAAGGTGTTAAAGGAATAATATAAAGGCCTTCGAAGAACTATACATAAACAATGCGAACACAAAAAAATTTATTCTTAGCAAATGTTTTTTTACCGAGTGACTAACAATTTAAAACTGTGTCAGTCTATCTTATGTTTGCATCTCTAAAAGTACTACTTCAATATTAAAGTAACCACCTCAGCCAATTACTAAAATCAGAAGATTAGTTTAGCAAACTGGAATTAACAAACTTGTAATAATAATAGCATAAATTTGTAATAGCAGTATTGTATCATAATATAGTATGTATGTATAATATTTATTGTACATAATGTTGAATTTGTGCAATTTTTGGGGAGTTTTTTTAAGAATCAGAGAATTTCACAAATTTGCTATCATGCACAACTTCAGCATTGCATGCATTAAATGTTGTAGTGTATGACAGTAGTTTTATATTTATTTATTTTATTTTATTTATTTATTTATTTATTTTTTTTTTTAAGGTTGGCATAGTGTTTTCTAGTTTTCACCAAATTAAATGCCACTGAATTTTGCCGAAGTGCTTGTTGTGGTCATTTTAATCTTAAAATACCATGAAAGTTTCCTTTCTTTTCTTTTTGGGAATTAAAGACATAGCTGATTTTAATCTCAAGTGATTTGTGAGTTGTTTAATTTCAAGTTGTCTGTTTATCCACAGACTGCTTTCGATACTGATGGTAAAAAATGTCTAAAAATTGTAAGATTATTTTGTGCAGATGATATTGTTTATTACAGCCTGAAGATTCTGAATGCCACCCTGATTATAGGTTTGATGAATTTGGTTTTCGTGTTGATGAAGAAGGTAAGCTGTTGATACAAGTACTATCAGTGTACTGAAATGTTTCGTATTTATTTATTGAAATTTTATAAAAGAAATGCTTGAAAATATTTTACAGATGGACCAGAACAAAATTCTAGCAAACTTTTAAGTATACCATTTGTTGAAGATCCACAGCATCGTCTACAATGGATTGCATATTTAGAATTTACTCATAATAATGAAGTGGGAGATCTTACTTGGGACAAGGTAAATAATGATGATATAGTATTCAAATCTACTGTTTTTATCTAGTAATTTATTTTTTAGGTGGCATAACTAAAATTATAGTTGTTTTAATTATATCTTTTTATTACTACTTTATCTCACATAACTGGCTCGTATATCCGTTACACATGAGAAAAAACACAAAAGTGCCCATTCGCTGGGATTCGAAGTCCAAACTGAACTACCAGTGTTTGCCGACTTTCCTGTTTGGCTGCTTGACCTATATAGCTTTCTGGATCATTTTAATGGTAGATGTTTGCTGAACTGTTAGTTATCAGTTAACTTATAAAATTGCAAAATGGTACAATTTTTTTTTCATTTAATGTCATTGATCAGAAGCTACATTTGTTTTATTTGATGTAATTTCTGGAAGTATTAGTAACATCATTAATATTCAATGTAATTAAATGTGGCTATTATTGCTGTAAATTTATTTTGTCATTTGATTGGTTTCCTTAGACATTTGCCTAAATATATATAATATTTTATGTTGAAATGCCACCAAATAAATATCATTTTCCGTATACTGTCAACCATTAAGATATTCTTATATTCTAAAGGAACTGCATAAATACTTGAAATTGTTTTCCAGAACAGGGAATCCAAGGAATTAAAATCATAATAGATCTGCCATACAAGTACATTCTCTTATTTGTTCACCCTTAAGAGTTTCCTATTGTGTATTTATTTTGCAATTCTATTATTCTCATGACATCTGTTTCTACTGTTTTATATACTTTTGTTTTACTCATATAAAAATAAATGACATAGATTTTTTTTTCTATTATAAAATACCATGCATCAAACAATTTTCTACAGAAAAATTTATGTATGCCAATATTGTCTGTTGATCACCATTAAATTAAATATGTTGTAATTTTTTATATCATTGTTCTTATTTTCAAAGTAAGTAATGTTAATAAGAATTTTTAAAGTGTGTCATTTTTTTCTGTCCTTTATTTATTGAAATAACTAATCAAAGAGACATATTATGTTTAGAAAAATTTTACTGCTGTCAAAATAAAATGATGATAAAAGTAGGCTTTCTCATCAAAAATATTAAGTCGGCTGCATCTATTGGTTTAGAGAAAACTATTTGATGTAATTATTCTGTAACTGAAAAAATCCAAATCTTCTTCTGTTATAACGCTTTAAATGATGAAATTTTGTGTCTAGAATTTGTATTTCTACTTGAAAAAAAAAAAAAAAAGTCTTTATTCAATTAGAAATACATTAAACTTTAAAAATATTATCTAATCATTTTTCCTCCCTTAAAGGTGGAGCCTTATTTACCTCGATCTGAAAAACTGACTAATATGATTCGTCAAGGCATTCCACATTCTTTGCGACCACAGTTATGGTTGCGTCTTTCTGGTGCAATGAAGAAAAAACTGTCCTGTGATTTAACTTATAAAGATGTTGTGAAAGCTAGCTCAAATGATCATGTTATGACTTCAAAACAAATTGAAAAGGTAATTGTTTTTTTCATTTGCAGTGACAGATATTTAAAATGTTGTTTATGTAATTATAATACAGTCAAAAGTCGTTAATCCGGACTCGTCGGGACTTCGGCGATTCCGGATTATTGATTTTCCCGGATTATAGATCATCAGTTTAAATCGCGTAAGATGGCATGCAGAAATTCTAAAATTAAAAATATGAAACCGTAATTTATGAAATAAAGAACAATTATGATCTAAAGGGTATCAAAATTTACAAAAAAAGCTTAATATTTATTTGTTTACTTTATTAAACATTTCTTTCAATGTAAGTTGTTTAAGTTGCTTCGTTTTATGTGATAATACTTTCTCTTTAATTCTATAAACAGATATAATTTTTTGTTCACTTTCAAAGTTCCGCTGTTCAAGTCCTGTTAATTGCTGTGCCGAGAATACTGACTAACTTGTCAATCGAATTTTTTTTTTATTTCGCTAACCTCTCTGTCACATTCTTCATGTCTTTATCCATTTTTTGCAGCAATTCCACTTTTTGTTTGATGGACATCGAAACATACTTTCGTTTTGTACGATCCTTTGGGAGCTCCAGAATCAAAAATTCTATTTGACATAATCGAAAGTTCAAGTTTACTTTTATAGTATTGCTCTTACAGTCTGCAAAAAATAATAAGCCGGATCCAATTAAAAAATTAGGGAACAACGCAATCATCAACATTAACTGAAATAGATAATTAGATAATTTTAGCTTACACTGTCCGTTATACATAAAGCGCGCACACGAAAACGTATTCTGCGCTTGCGCACACGCAAATGCGCAGTAGTAAGAGGTCTTACGCGCACGCGTATAAGCCTATGCGCATGTGTCAACGCGGCGCATGCGCAGAAATTTTTTATCTTTGAGGTCCGGATTATAGATCATTCCGAATTATGGGTGTCCGAATTAACGACTTTTGACTGTATATTTTCATGTAACTCTTAGCAACTGATAATTTTGAAAGTATTTATGTTTTTCATATGATTTTTTTAACATTACTGTGCAATTTAAATTTAATCTGACATTTAAGATTTATTAGAAATAATATTAAAAAAATATTGAAAGAATAGTTGAATTTAGTGCACAGAAATAAAGCTATTAAGTTTTATTAATCTTTAAAAAAACAACAAGTTAGTTTGGTATAGGTTTTAAATTAAATGATGTTTGCTTGTATGTCATCATTTTTTATTCAGGAAAGATCGCTTTGTATTTTATTTCTTTGCATGTTGCTCATAAACGGTCAACTTTCTCTTAAAAATAAAAATTTTTTTGAAATGACCTCAGTCCTGTAAGGGGGGAAAAATTCTTTTTTCTCTGTTTAAAAAAAAGAAGAAAGAAATTACATTATTTCTGTGCAGTAGCACTTCTTAATTAAATTTAATCATTGAATCCTTTTGTATTTTATACAGCATAATGGAACCTTTAAAATATTAGCACATTGAATTAAAACAAAAACAAGAAAAAAATGTAAAAATATTTCATTATTCAAATCTTTAAGTTTTGCTCTTAATTAAATGGTAATTATGGTATCAAACCTGCCTGTGGAGGAGTATTTAAGGCTGCTGAATGTTGGCAATTCAACCAGAGTTTGTAATTGTATGAATGGACTAGTTTCATGGATGTATGGCACTATAATCTTTTTTTATTAATAATATAAAAATTTAAAAGTCTTTATCATTCATTTTAATTTGTAATTACTTAGCAGAAGTAATTTTTCTGGTCAAGAAAAGAAATTTTTCAGTCTGATAAGGCTTTCAACTAATCACAGCATCCTGTATATTATTTCTTAGTATTATGTATGTACACTGCTGGCATTAAAATTTCTACACCAGGAAAGAAACAAAATAGCAGAATCTTATTTATTGTACATATACAGTGTAACTGGAGAAAGGCATGATTAAATTTGCTGGTGGTTTAGGGCATGAATCATGCATTCAGTACACGGAGGTGTCATCTGTGGCAGCAAAAATGGCTGTGATCTGGCTGGACATGAAGTCAAACAGGACTTGTATGACAGATACAGGTACTTCATTCCCTGCGGCTTCAGTCTATGCAGGAGTTCACTGACAAGTGGTGGCATGGCAGTCTCTTGGCAACCTATGACCATATGTTCTTATTGGGTGAGAGATATGGAGGTTGTGTTAGCCAAGGCAACAGTCAAACTGTCTTTGTGTCAAGAAGGTCAGGACAACACGGGGAAAATGCAATTATGTGTTGAAGACAGAGTAAAGCAATGGGCTTTAACATGTCAAAAGTGTAACAGTAGCTGTTCACATTACCAGGGATATGAAAATAACTCTTGATCAGAATGTGTACCCAATGGCATCCCATATAAGCACACCAGGTGTTGGGCCCATATGAAAATGACAAATGCTAGCTGGCAACATTTGTTCTCTTCAGTGCCTCTACATAAGGATATGCCCTTCATGATGCAGTGTTGATATTTCTTTTGTTGAGCAAGACTTGATATTCCTTTTGTGTTTCATACTCAATTCTTAGGCCACATTGCTACTTACATTGGGCTAGGTGTTGGACACCCCTGCTTTTTATATGTTAGCACAACAAACATCTCTCAGACAATGATTAATGTTCTCATTAATAGCATCTTAAGGAGTGTAAGTGTGTGTATTTCTTTACATCATTATCATATTGCATACAGAATAAATTTAAATGATTTGAATATTTTGTCTCCAGTTTTCCAATTACATGAAGAATACCACATTTGCAGATTTTTATATTTGTGATTCATTTAAACGCATCCAAGTTTAAGTTATGCTACAATCGTATAGTAATATTTGTGACAGATGACACCATAGCTGGTCATTTAGTAATTCTTGAAACTTTTGCAAAACAATGCATATAATTTATCAATATCCAGTATTTTTATATGTGTAGAATTAATTGTAACTTAGCATTCCAATGATAAGACCATATCAGAGGCAGAATTAGAATTAACAATTATATCTTACTTTACCAGTTTTCATGCTAGGAAATTTACAGTCAGGAACTTATTTATTCATATAGTGGAGGTATTTCTGTAATTCTTTTTGGCAAGCATTTGTAAAAATTATTTGAATCATAATTGCTCTGGTGCAATCATTTTCAAGGAAATGTTAGTATTAAGGGATTTCCTTATGAAGCTTAAATAGATTTATTCACTATATGCTAATGCATATATTACTGCATTTTAAATTTTGTAAATGCTATTTTCTTAGTTGTTGTTTAGGTGAAAATACCACTAAAAAGTGATATATTAAAAGCTCAAAAGTAATTTTTGTTTCATTTTTCGAAAAACAGGAATTAATTGGTATCATCATGGTAATTTATTTTATTATCATTTTTATTTTCAGGATTTGCTAAGAACTCTTCCTAGCAATGCATGTTTTTCTCATATGAATAGTACAGGAATTCCAAGATTAAGGAGAATTTTACGGGGACTTGCATGGCTCTATCCTGATATTGGATACTGTCAGGGGACTGGTGTTGTAAGTTAAAATATTCTTTCTGTACTCATTTATTTATAAGGAGAGAACTGCTGTTTTTATTTTGCAATGTATATTTTAGTTTCACTGAGTAACTATTAAATATCATTCATTAGCAAAATTGTATAAAAAAATAATTAGAAGCTATGACCTTGGCCACTTGGAGAATGTTATCGGAGACACCAATAGTTAAAGAGATGTTTTCTGAATAACTGTCCTCCCATATCTTGTATTATATTGAAAGATAAAATAAGAATTAAAAAGATTAATATAAAGAGGTCAATACTTAGGAATTTTAAAACATCTAAAATACCTTTTATTGGCAAAATGCAGAGAGAGGATGTTTACACATTTTTGTAACAATTTTCATAAAGAATTTTTTTAAAAAAAGGAAATGTTTTCAACTAAAAATTTCTGGCAACAGCATGAATACTTGAAATGAGAAGTTATCATCTGTTACTCGAAAATTAATTCTTCTTTTAGAATGTTACACATAGACAAGCTGTGGATTGAAAGATATGCTTTTATACTTTCCAAAGAGAAATATTTCTATTCTGTATTTCGAAAACAGTGTAAAATGTATGGTATTAAAATATCTAAGTTGGAAAAAAAAAGCAACATTAATATGGAAAGGGAAAAAACCTCGAAACATTACTTTCACATGAAAAGAAGACTTCAAACATACCTGAAAAAGGTACCTACTGTTTCTAATAAGTTAAATTGTTGATAAGAAGAGAAAATACATTGGCACAGAAATTGAATGCAGTCTTTAAATACACCTATAGCAACAATAAATAAAATAATAAACCAAGATTTATAACTTAAAGTTAAAAAATATAATGTTCACCAGTTTTCTGAGGCATGCGGCTCAATGCAGAGCATTTTGTAGAACTCTGTATGGAAACTATTTAGTAGGAGATGAATGCAAATACATTGCAACCCTTGATAAAGCATGGGCTTACCTGAATAACTGCATCAAAAAAAAAAAATATTAAAAATAAAATAGATAAAATTAAAAAAAAATTTTTTTTTAAATGGTCTATTTGTTATGGAAAATAAACTCAAAATGTACAAACCTGGTTCCATTGATGCAAAGAAGTTTCAGTAAGAAGTGCATATTTGTAATAAGAATCTCTTACAGTGGCAGATTAAAAATAAGAGTGTGAAAAATGTTCATGTCAACTCATTGTATTGTCAGGAGAAAGCTTTATGTTTGCTAAATAATTATTTTGAAATGTAACAGATTTATTTATCTTTTTATTTGTCTGTTTTTTTAGTTGTTCAAAAATTGCATAAACAATATGCAGAAAAGTTCATAGAATTTTTTAGTTTTGTGAAATAGAATATTCATAACATTTCATAATCCTGATGTAACCGTGTTGTGATTTCAAGAAATGTTATTTTCTGTACTAGTATGGCATATCCTTGACTGCCAAGTTGGCAGTGCTCCAATGTCATTAATACTGGCTGCTATTGTTTTACATATACTTTATATAATTAATGCTATATAAAACTTTTTAACATTAGATTTTTAATCCTTTGATGTTGTATTTGCTAATTTTAAATTTCATTTCAACATTCAAAATTAATTCCCCCTTCTTTCCCCCATACATTGTCTTTTAGATTGCAGCTTTGTTACTACTATTTTTGGAAGAAGAGGATGCATTTTGGCTTATGTGTACTATTGTAGAAGATCTCTTACCAGCTTCATATTATTCTAGTACATTAATTGGTGTACAGGCTGATCAGCGTGTTTTAGTATCACTTATATCAACCATGTTGCCAGATTTGGATGCTGTATTAAAAGAGCATGACATTGGTTAGTAATGCTTAAAAAGTAATCTTGATTTTTTAGAAATGCTGTTTTCATTATTTTCTTTAAATTGAATCAAAATGATAAAAATTAATAAATTCAATTAATTGCTGATAATTATATTGCATAATCATTTACTAATTTTTTGTATTGCATAGTAAAATCAAAATAATATTTTGTTTACAGAGTTTCCATTTAATGTAAGATGTTCTTCAAATATTGTTAATAAAGATGAATTAATTATTATTCATACAAAAATTATTCTGAATATGACAGTATATTATATAAACCATCTATAATTATTACTATAATTTTAAATATGTTTATATTGCAAATGTTAGATATATCTAACTTCATGATGTAGTCTTACTATTATTAACAACTAAAAATTGCCTGACTGTTATATCTAGTCAGAATTTATCTTAAATCATTGGTCTTGTGTGGGAATGAATAAACCACTGAATGCTGGTTGGTGAAATAGGTTCAAATCCTATCAAATAGACCAGCTACATAGCCATTTTCATGGTTTCTGCATTTACAATGTAAATATAAGTTAGTTTCCCAAGAAAAGTTCATCACAATGGTTGCCTTTTCTTAGGAAGGTAATGCTTGTTTGGTTTGCCTAACCTAAGTGTAAACCTTTTGGCTAACTGAGGAATTATTTTAGCTGTTGTACTTTTAATAACTATGTTACAGGTCAATATACTTCATAAAAAATATTGCTCATGAAACGTTTCCATCAATGTGTTTTGATTTATAATTCCCAGTTCCATTGCTTAATTTTTATGTTTTTGCCTTATAACTGATGTTGCTCTGTTTATTTTAGATATAGAATGAATGGCATAGTGAATGTGTTTATTATTTGTATTAACTTTAATAGTGCTTGGGCATAATATATAATAATATATAGCGTAATAATGATAACATAAATACTTGAGATGCTAATATAGATATCAAATAATTAAAAAGCTATGCAATATCATTATATTGAAAAATGTTTCAAATAATAAGCTAAGTGAAATGTTAACTTTTATACTGCTGTAACTCTCTACTAATGCTTATAATCACTGAATTCCTTTTAATAATTTTTACTCTCAGAGTACATAGAAATTTCAAGATAACTAGGTAGCTAACCTACTTCTTTCACTTAACATGCTTAGAACTCTCTTTGATCACCCTTCATTGGTCCCTTACCCTGTTTGCAAGTGTTGTGCACACAAAGATCCTGTTACGCATCTGGGATTTATTTTTCTATGAAGGCTCTGTTGTCCTTTTCCAAGTTACTCTTGGGATGCTGAAAATCAAAGTATGTTCAGAATTCTGAAATTGTTAATCTAGTGTATGTGATTTCTAGTTTTGCTGTTGTTATTTATTTATTTATTTATTTATTTATTTATTTGTGAGTGAATATATTTTTATTTAAAAAGCAAGTATATTAGAGATGCTTTTTAATGAAAAGATAAAAAACACACACATATATTATATATGAAATTAACAAATACAATATTATGCCATTCATATAAAGCTAGTTAAAATTTTAAACTGTGAAAATTCATTTGTAAACAATATAAAATTATTAATTATTACTGCAAACTAATTTGCAATACCAATCAAATTCAGAAAGCATAAGTAAATAAAGTGCAAATATATATATATGTATTTTAAAATTAGAACAAATACATATTAATTATCTGACATGAAGTTAGTAAATTAGATTTTTGAATTTGATGCGATGTGCAATAACCAATTCAAATTTATTTAATATTAATTTAAATGTGCTCTTCCTTTAATTATTTTTTAATTTAGAAATTTGCTTTACAGGAACCTGATTTAAGACAATTAGAAAATTCAGCACAAATTTTTAATGCTTTATCAGACATTCCTGGAGAAGTTGATGATGTAGATAAACTGTTTGAAGTAGCATATGAAGTTACTGGATCTCTTACTGATATGGCTTTAGAAACACACAGAAGAAAACATCTTGCTTATCTTATGGCTGATCAAGGAGCTCTTTTAAATCCAGAGAATGCTAGAAATTTGCCAAAACAAGTATGACAATATTTTTTAAAATTAATTATTAAATATGCCTATTGTCAAAGGAAGAGTCAAATAAAATCTTGAATTTTGGTTTTTAATTAAACAGGCTTTCTAATACAAAAATAAAGAATTCTTGTAAGTACTTATGTCAAAGAAAGAATTATTTCATCCCCAACAATTAAAAAAATTAAAAAATTGTATTGATAATTTACATGATGCGATCTGTGGTGCATCTGGAAAAATTATTCAACCATGATGAAACTTGACATAAGCAATGAAGAATAAAGATGAAAGAAGTGCTTAAAATTCAATTGCAATTTGATGAGCAAATTTAAGTACCAAAAATTATATATTAATATGATAATATATGGTTTAGAATGCAAATTGTCTTCTCTCACCCCTCCCCCCCAAAAAAGAGTCAGTCGCTGTCTTCCGATCAAGATATCCAGAATAATGGTAAAGATCTTACCTTGTCAGAAAATTTGTCTAATCCAAATAACACTCGGGAATATTTTTATTAATTGAAGACAATCTACCTCATCACACTAAAAGCATTTCTAAAATAATAACATATATTAATTCATGTTGCACATTATTGCCTGATTATATATACAACACTCAGAAAAGAAGTTATCACTTACATTTATCATTCATTCGTCCGTTGCTAGTAAAAAAAAAAAAACACTTTGGTTTCGAGGCAATGAACCTGCTCGAATCACGTGATTCGTTTGCTGAGAGTTTCAACTCAAATGTTGAATGCACAAAATTTGCTGCCATATAGCTGGGAATTGACTAGCATTTGAACATGTGCTGTGTGTGATCTGATTGAAAAATGTCTAGAGGTCTGGCAAACCAGTGGAAATTGGACATTATGCAGACATTCCTTGGAAACATTTGCTTTGTGCATATGAGTATTATTTTGCTGAAAAATGGCCTCTGATTAATAAATGAGAAAATTAGCAATGTAATTTTGCCAGCTCATTGCGTATCAGCGGGGTATTAAAAATGCTGTAAAGAATCACTAAAGTATGGAGTAGTGCAAACAGTGGCTCTTCAAATGACAATATGAGATGATATTGACATATGCCACCCTACAATGATGTGATATGCACAGTTTTAGTTAAGTCCCATCCACATAGAAAATTCTTCTGCAGTATGGGTCAAGAGAGAACGGTTTTATTACCATGAAACATTATACAGTTACCGTCTAATATACACTTTGCTTTGTGCAAGCAGCATTATAAAATGTACAGTACAAAATCTGAGATCAGGACTTCAGTGATTTTGGATTTGAGCTTTTCTGGATATTAGATCATCATTTAAATCTAATAAGATGACATGTAGAAATTACCAAATGAAATAGTGAATTATAAAATAATGAAGCATTTATTATCTAACAGGAATCAACATTTGCCAGAAAAACAAAAAGCTCAGTATTTGTTTGTTCTATTAAACATTCTTCTCAATATCAGTTGTTTAATTTGCTTCATTTTTTGTTTGTTTGTTTGTTTGTTTGTTTTGTTTTGTGATAATACTTTCTCTTTAATTCTACAGAGAGACATAATTTTTTGTTCAGTTACAGTGTTCCATTGTCCTGTAATTGCCTCATTGATGCTAAATTTGTTAATTAATTTTTTTGGGGGGGGTTATTTTGTTCTTAATAACTTTTCTGACACCACCTTCACTATCAGTTGTGATATTTTCTGGATTCAAAATCATATTACAGGTTTTGTCGTCCATTAGTTGATTAATGATTGGAGCATTGTCATCACAATGAAAAATTTCTGTTATATCATCATCATTTTTTACCACTTCTCGGTATTTCTTCCGAAATTGCATTATTATTTGGAAATTTTTGCATTTTGTTTGCATTGTCTGAAAACCTTAACATTTGCAGTTTAAGGAATTAAATTCATATTTTAACCCTAAAATCATCGTAAAGCTTAGCTAGTGTCGGCATGCACTATTAGGAGTATTTCGCAACTAGAGGCATGTTGTTCCACTGAATTTCATCTTGATTCTATTGCATGCTGATGAAGTTAAGCCTGATTTATATTAGTTTAGTTATTTATTAAATTTACAACTATTTATTAAATCTCGAGTAAATAAATTCCCATATATAGTAAAATCTTATTTAGGGTTGGCACTAAACATTTTGTGGCCCAGTGTAATCTCTGCGTGTCTGAAATTCTGCTGAAAAGTACCTGCCCTAAATTCTAAAACTTTTGCATCCCAGTGCCTTTACTAAATTCTAAAGATTTTGCCATTCCTTAATTTTTTTCTCAGTGCTTCTCCAAGCTCTAAAAATTTTGCCTCTTCTAAATTCTGCCACCCAGTCAGGCCGCATCAGCTTTAGCACCAGTCCTGAGCTTAACTAAATAACAAATCAGTTATTCTTAATTCAGACTGCATTAAATGTAATCTTTTGGCATATGAGTATCACGTACAATATCTGTTTTTGCTTATAGAAAGAAATTTCTTCTATTCAACACTTTTTAGTGGAATTAACTGATGTCTGCAATCATTGCCAAGTGTAATTGTCAAAATAAAAAGTTACCATGCTCAATTTGTATTCAGTTACTAATATTAAAAAATAATTATTAATTTTATTTAAACATAGCTGGTTAAGTCATTTGTCAAGTTACAGTAATGTAAGTAAAAAGTAAATAAATAAATAAAGATTCATCAGGTTGGTGTGCAGTACTGAAGTGAAATTAATAAAATTGGGAATTCGCACGTGTTTATTATGAAAATTATCAAATATGTAAATGTGAAGCAAGTAAAAAAATTTAAAAAAAAGTTTCTGTTGATCTGGAGATTTGGATTTTAGATCACTCCAAATATGGGCGGCTGGATTTTGGACTTTGTACTGTGTTAGATTGAAACTAAGAATAAGAATGAATATTATTGTTGATGCCTTGGGGTAAATTTTAGATATCAGTATGGACTCCAGCAGTTGAAAAGTTTCTAATGAGTTGCAGCAATGCTTTGTGACATAACATCTGGCAAATGTGAGTAGAGGTTCTAAATGGCATATCACAAAAATGTGGATATATTTATGGCAGTTTGTAGAACCATTGGGTACTTGTTGGAACAGGAAACAATAAAATTCACCAGTGCCTTTCCTAGGATGTGAATTCAGGAATTCAATTGCTCGGTGGACTTGTTCCAGTTATACCTTGAAGGTTTGTGGCTAGGGATTAGAAAAGGCCTTACAAGCTCTCACAATTGCACAAGCTTTATCTGAAGTCATGATCCTAGGGGTCCAATGCTGTCATGTGCATCCTTTGTTGAACTCATCTGTTAGTTATATGGCCATCAGCTGGATCTTTCAAGACATTTTCTTTTACTAATGTAAATAACAGTAAACATAAGCAGTCCGAACTCACATACTGATCAAGCATTTTACCTTTAAGTGCTTTAGAATTTTTTTTATTTGAATTTGAATTGTAAATTTCAGGACTGTAGGACAAACAATTTTTTTGATACAGTGATTTTCACATAATTTCCATGGAGATTTTAAGCATATATCATATCGATATTTAAAATTCTGTATACTTTCTACAGAGGATTTGCCTCCGTGTGCACTGAACCAGTTATGTGCTATAAATTTTAGTACTGATTTTCTATAAACATCCCAATGAAATTCCTTCATATGGATGGAGCTGCGAATCTCAGAGTTTGATTATTAATCATGACAATCATCTATCGCTTTTTCTCCCAAGACTGATATTTTGTGAAATTTATTACTAGTTTCCCTGCCTACAAACATTCCGCTTTAGCAATAAAAAAGGGATTTTAAAGCGATATGATTATGATGTTTCTTAACAGCATATGTTCAAACATAGAACACTTATGCAAGAATTGTCAAGCTCATCCATACCATTAATTGTGAGTACCAACATTTGTTTAATTTGTATTTAATAAGATGAATATTATCGAAACTCTTATAACCATGAATTATTAAAAACAAATATTTTCTTCTGTTGACCTAACACCATTATAAAATTAAATGAATTTTAATTACTGGATCTTAATATGAGTGTATTGATAATAACATAAGAAAAAAATTGCTTTTTAACGAGTGGGAGGTGGTCTACAGAACACTGTAATTTATAAAAGTGATCCTCTGATGAAAAACATTTGAGAAATGCTGCATGAACTGAACTGCTTTTGTAATGATATTACGAAGTCCTAGTCTTTTCTTGATTCATGAGTTGCATTTAAGGGCTGAGAAAAGCAATATTAATCTGTTATACATTTTTGAATCTGTATGTGCATTACGGTTCTTAGTCATGAATGAATCCTTTACTTTGTAAGAGTTACAGCTTTTAAGATTTTCCAATCTCTAGAAACTTAAGAAATTCCATTCTGTTCATGTTGGGCCACACAAATACTACTGCTGTTTTCAAGTTTAACAGTTTTCCAAATGTACCTTTAGCCTTAAAATTTAATGCTTGGTTTGTTATTATCTTATAAAACAGATTAAATTCCTTGGCATTGAAAATGCTAGTTTCTTTTGCTTTTCATTGTCCATATGTCCACAGATAACTCATTAGGTTTTATCCCAGAAACTGCAATAAATCAATCAATCAATCATTTCCAATGTCAGGTGTTGAAACACTGCTGAATTCTCTGACAATTTTTCTTAAAGAAATGATCCACTTTCAGAAATCTGCCCTACAATATATTTCAATTCCAAAAGGTAGTCATTTCAAATTATTTGTCAAATTTATCAACCTTTGTCTGAACTATTTATAGAAACTCTGGCCTCAACATTGCTTCTTCAGCCTCTTTATGCTGTGCTTTTCTTAATTTTTTTCATAAGTAGAAAATATCAAATCTTGATTTTTCCTCATGGACCAACTTCTAATTAGCATTAATTGAACATTTTGCAGGTGTTGATTTAATTATATTTATTCTGTATTTGTCCAATAATACTTTCTTTAACTTCAGTGCAGAACATTTTACCAAAGACATTGAAAGAAACTTATATCTGATTTCCACACATTTGAAAACTTATTATAAATTGTTTAAAATAACATTTTATTTAAATATAGAGTTTAAAATAGAACCCAAAATTTTATTTGCTATATTTGGCTGGTTCTTATTGAACAATTCAGTATACAGTACAAAGTCTTTAATCTGGATGTCCATAATCCGGACCTCAAAGCTACAAACTTTCTGCGCATGCGTAGTGCTTACGCATGCGCATATGCAATTATGCATGTGCATAATACCTTTACGCATGCGCATTTAATGTATAACAGATGGTATAAGCTAGGCTAAAATTATCTATTTCAGTTAATGTTGCAGATTGCATTGTTTCTTAATCTTCTAATTGGATCCAGCTTATTATTTTTTGTAGACTGTTAGAGCAGTTTTATAAAAAGTAAGCTTGAACTTTCAATTATGTCAAAAAGAGTTTCCGATTCTGGAGCTGCCAAAGGATCTACAAAGTGAAATCATGTTTCTGTGTCCATCAAACAAAAAGTGGAATTGTTGCAAAAAATGGATAAAGGCATGAAGAAAGTGACAGAGAGGTTAGTGAAAACGAAAAAATTTCGATTGATAAGTTAGTCGGTATTCTCGGCACAGCAATTACAGGACTTGAACAGCGGAACTTTCTAACTGAACAAGAAATTATGTCTGTTTATGGAATTAAAGAGAAAGTATTAGCACATAAAATGAAGCAACTTAAACAACTTACATTGAAAGAAATGTTTAATAAAGTAAACAAATATATATTAAGCTTTTTTTAAATTTTGATACCCTTTAGATAATAATTGCTCTTTATTTCATAAATTATGATTTCATATTTGTAATTTTATAATTTCTGCATGCCATCTTACCAGATTTAAATTGATGATCTATAATCCGGAAAAACCCATAATCTGGAGTTGCCGAAGTCTCGACGAGTCCAGATTAAAGACTTTATACTGTATCAGGTTAGGGTATAATCGTATTGAGCTATCCAAAAAGTTCTGTGAGTTTTCTCATGATGAATACTAACAAAGCAGTACAAAAGCATTAAAAAAATATTAAGGCACCTAAACGCTATTGTGTTCTATGAGAGATGAATATGTTCATCTCTTTAGCAGGTAGAAAATTCCTTTCTTTAAAAGAAAGTTATAAGGTTTATTCATAAAGAAGTTATTAAAATGCTGTTTTACTGTCTCCAAAGAAATGAGCTGCAGGCTTTTCAGACAATTTTAGAGTTACCTGAAGAGATAAAAGGGCCAAGATCTGATGAATTTGGGGGTTTACACAAAATATTCACATCCATACTCAAATAGTTTTTATCTAACATTCATCAAAATGCGGGGCCTAGTGTTGTCATTATAAAAGGTAGCATTTTGATGCTTGGTCAGTCCTCAGCCCCTTGTTTGAATTTCTAGTTTTAAAGCTGCCATTTGGAAAGAGTTTTTTTTTTTTTTTTTTTTTTTGAAATTTATTGTCTTATTTGATGGCAACAATTCATAGAATACTATGTCGTTGTAATCTTACCACACATAAAGCATTACTTTTGTAAATGCAGCCGCCCTCTTGATGTTACTATAGGAGGCTCTTTTGGCTTACTCCGTGATCTTTTTGTTGTAATATTACCATTTAAGAAAAGCAGTTTCTTTATTTCTTTTCAACAAAAACCACATGCTAAAACTCAAACAAGTATATTCTGCTCTTTAAAGTATTAGCCACCATACATCATAGCATCTAATGTACCCAGATTTCTTCAAATTATCATATATTTTTCAAAATATTTAGTCTTTCTTAGTTCCTGACCTATCTATTGTGTATTTTTATCAATAGCTTCCTTTAATAGGTCCTTGTTTATACAGGATGGTTGTTCAGAGTGTGCATCATCTTTGAGGCTGAAATTTCCACACTTAAATTTCTCAAATGACCTTTAAAATGTATCGCCATAAATAGTACTTTGTCCATATGCAACGTAAGTTTTATGAGCAGTTTGATTTGCATAATTCCTTTTTAAAAATAAAAGAGTATAGTATGATAATAATAAAGTTAATTTAAGTTCTTCATTCGTAGCACTGCAATAAAAAGAATTATGTCATAATACTTACTAAAATTATAAAATGCAAGTAGAAAAGACTTTAAATGCCTGCTTCAATCAATGTCACTTCTTATCAGCAGTAACAAAGTAATTAAAGGAAAAGTTAGTCTGAACTGAAAAACAATAGAACTTTTTGGTCGACCAAATATTGTAAAGTTATTAATTATTTAGATATTGAGTAACATGTAATTAGTTAATAGGCAGAAAATTTCTTATGAGTTTAACACAATCCAGAATAAATATTCATTATATTTCAAATAGCACCTCAATCGTCGACAACTGAAGAGATCAAAATCCATGCTTCAGTTAATAATATTTGGAGATGGTGAGACAGAAGAGGATATTCGAAGCAAAAATATCCGACAAACAGAAATATTAGTTGATTTAAGAGAAGCTATCCTTCAAGTTGCTCGTCATTTTCAGTCTGTTGATCCCAAAATTAAGGTTGTAAGTATTCTTCTCAAATTTTATTTATGTAATTTTTATTTTTATTAACTTTTTCACTCAGAACTGTAGCTAGGGGTTTTCTGGGCCTGAGGACGAGTGAAGATTTTGCTCCTACTTCTGTATATCAAGAATGGAAAACATTTCATTCTAAAATTTCATAACATCATTTTAGTGTTCCCTGGATGCTGCACTCACGGGCGGATATCCTCCCTTGCTCCCCTAGCTACCTTACTGCTCATATATCCACTTATGTATATGCATTTTTTTATTTTAATTTTTTAAAAAACTAATTCAAGATAATAATAGATTTTTAGGTCCTTTCTTGTAAAAAACTGCTTTTTCATCACTGGCATATTTTTACTGAATGTATTGTATTTTATACATCTGGTGTAGATTACATTTTTCGTAAAACTAATGCCAGATGTAGTACTGTTTCACCTCTAACTCATGGAGAAAACTTGTACATTTCTTTAAAAACGATATGAACAGTGATTCTTAATTCATTTTTGCTCAGTCTCATTTCTTCCTTCACGATTTTTTTTTTAATTATAGGCACATTTTAAGTATTATATAAACAAATTTGTATTTTAGCTTGTTTTAAAGGTGTACATAAATTTAAGATTTAGTATATTTAGTAAATATTTGTTATTGAATATAATAATTAATTGAAATATGAATTATATTTAATAAACATAATCAACAAAATGTTTTTTCTCTTGCCTAAATTTAACTTTTCAAGCTTTTTTGGGTCACATAATTTCATCTATGCTTTAATTTTCTTTCTTGTAAATTTTAATTTTTTTTCTTTCTTTAAATTTTTTATTACAGTTTAAGTGTACTAGTTGAAGATCAAACTGTCTTGCCCTAAAATCCTGAAATTTCTTTTTTGAGAAAGGAGATCTTTTTCAGTGGTTAAAAATTGTTGATACTGGGTATTTATTACTTCCAAATATATTTGCTTCATGCATTAGAATTTTTTTTGTGGTACAAAGTTAGAGTATCTAGTGTGATTAGATTCCCGAATTGAGTACTAAATAAATAATTATTTTGAATGCTTATCTCATTGAATAAGTTAATTACAACTATTGAGAAGAGTGTATCTTTCTTTCGATAGCTTTTTGAAATCTTGGATTCAGACTGGACATAACTACGCCACTTCAAATTAATTTTTATCATGACACTTGCTTTGGGAAAAGATAACATCTTGTCAATTAGAATAGAAGAGAAACATGCCAATGTGACAATCAAAATCACAATAACAACCTTGTAATATCAACTCATCAAAGGCTGTGTAGATTAAATATCGTATCTATGAAAGTACTGGAATATTTCTTGATACCTCATAGCCTGAGTTAACTCAAGTTAGCCTGAGCATCATAGGTGCACACTTTAGAGTATGTTTTTTTTAAATAAAATTTTTAACATTATATTTTTCTTGCTATGTGGGTATTAAAAATTTGGGCTAATTCTATAATTTTGCTGTGTAGACTATTATGACTATATGGCAAAGCATGCTTAACTGGAGGGTTGCCTTCATTATGTATACTTGAAAGTAATAACATATAAATTCTTATACATGTAATTGAAAAGTATTTTTAAATGGAATTATTTATTCACTATAGACTCACATAGACTTTCAGAGATTATATGATGATCTGAGGCCATCATATAATCTCTCCTGAAATTGAAATAAAGTTTGAAATTAATTGATTTATTTAAAAATCATGAAATCACAGAAAACCCTCTTTATTTCGTGAAATTTTGCATCACATTAAAATTACTATGTCAGGTGTTGTTTATTTATTTCCCCCCTCTCTGTTCTGTATTTGATAGCTGCATATATTGTGCTGTTATAAAGTATAAAAGAAAAAGATTTTACATTGTAGACAAAGTTAAAAAATTAGTTGTATGTTCTGCTGTAAGTTTATAAATTAATGCAATCTATTCTTATAAATTAATGCAATTTATTTTTACTAGAATCTTATAGCTGACTATAGTATGGAAGGTCATGCCAGAGATCAGGAAATTTTTGCCAATGTTGCTCGAAATCGTCGTAGAAGAGCTAAAGCATGTCTAGATTTTGAGCGCCATGATGATGATGAGTTGGGTTTTAGAAAAAATGATATAATTACTGTAAGTTTATATAATATGCATTCATTTACAAATAATATGTATTTAATTTGGTGTACTTTTGGATTAATATGATGCCAGCCATAATTATTATATGCCAAAGTACTAAATGGGGTAATCTATTTAGTACTCACAAGTAGCTATGCAGTGATGTCATAATAAATAATCTAGAAAAATGACAAAAATTTTGTTATCCAGAATTTCAGTAGCTTTATTAAAGTGCTGATATTTTGAGGTAAAGAATTAGTCTAGGTTACATCATTTGGCAAGTGCAAAATGATAAAAAACCATGATTAAATTTTTCCATAGCAGAGGTTACCATTCATACTAAAAGAATATGCTTAGGAAGCTGCAAAATAAAATTATCCGAGCATTGAAATGGCATTGAAGTAAAAGATCATGCCATGAGAAATAAGGTTTACAGAATGGATTCTTGTTTGAAGGCACATTTCTTTTCCTTTTCTAACAGCTGTAACCAATGGCCAATACCCATTGGCTACTGAACTATCTCATCACCAAGAACATTGCTCATTTACACTTGTGAGAATAGAAAAGTTCTACACCAGTTTTGATGGATAACACTCGGGATGACAGATCCTTACAGTCCATGCCCCAAGACACTATGCACTTGAAAATATTCAAGCTTTCTCCAGGATCCAAACTTGGTCCTAAGGATATTGCTATACCAATCAGCTAATCAGTTTGTTTACTTTTAGTTCAAGAGCTCATGTTGGTACGATTCTGTCAACTACTACTAGAAATGAAGCATTGTATAATGGTTGATTAGAATAATTGCATGTGTTCTTATTTGCAAATTTCTATATTCATGTTTGTTTTTATATTTAATTTGGATTTAACATAGTCATACATACAAGTTTCTGAAAAGAATAGCTGTTCTTAACCACTAAGGTTGCCAAAACTGTCTCTAATTAGATTTTGCATTAACATTTACATTCGGTGCAAGTGGCACCTTGTTAACCAGAAAATACCTAATTTTGTTAAGTATTTTTCATGTGAAGAAGAGCATTAAAGCAGGCATCTTAAGAAATCTTAAATATTGAAACCTTGATATCCTGATTTCTTTCAGAACTGTGTTTTAAAATATTTAATGCAGGAACCATAACATCTGAAAAATGTTTTTCAGCAGATATATTTGTAAAGTTGTGTGTTAAAAAAATTTTCTGTTTTTTGCAATAGAGAAGTTTGAATTAGTTCATTAAAGTGAACCAAAAATTATTATGGAAGGAAATTTAAAATTTCATGAAATACAACAGTTGAAAGAAAAAGTAAGAAATGCTTCTTAGTCAAAGATGCAGGTAGTGTTAAATTTACAATAAGCAAATTTCAGTATTTCACAATAATTACATGAAATGAAGGAAAATGTAAAATGCAGGAATATAAAAATAGAGTTTTTATTTATATGAGTTTATAATTATGTAGTTTACATTTAAACTTTTTTCTCCATTTGTGGTTGTTATCTAATAGATAGGATTTGACAAATTTTTAGTTCTTTTTATCAGCTATATTTGATGTGGAAGGCTTCTGTTGAGATTCTATTTCTCAGTGCTTGAGTATTGATCTTTAACTAATATATTAATTCAATTTTTAGTTATCTTTTTTCATCCAGAATGTTCTAAACGTTTTTAAAAATGTACAAACTTAAGTTGATTTGTTATATTTGGAATATTTTTTTATTCAAGATTTTAAAGTTGGATATATTTCATGGAAGCATTTTTCTGAGTCTTTAATATTTTAGCAGTATTTATCATCTTGAATGCAAATTCCTCAGTTTAGTCTGAGTTAAACTCATAAAATAATGCAAATTCAGCAATATTGAAGATTTTTCAGCTACAATTGATTACCTGAGTGTTAAATTTATTGTAAGATTTGACATATTTACATTCATATTTTTGGTTGTACCATTGAGAATCAAGTATCTGAGTAATCTGAGTTCTGTCTCATATCTATGAAATCAAATTATCACTTGAGACAAAAGTTTCATTACCCACTTCAGTTGTGATATCATGCCATTTGTCTTTGCATAAGGTTATCTAAGTAAAATACATTCTTGATCTTTGAAAAACATACTGAAAGCTTTTTTTTATTTCAGTTAATTCACCCATATTTTGTTTCACAATTGTAACTATTTGAAAATTCTTTTGAATTATTTTTTTTATTTAATTGCATTTTCTCTGATTGGAATTTGCATTCTGTTGTTTCACTACATTTTTAAAGTTGGCTAATGGGTATTGCAAATTGATTGTTATCTGTTTCATACTTTGTAGTTTTAATTACAAGAGATTTAAAGCTTTGTTGTTAATTTTAATCATACTTCATAGATAAATTTAAGTTAAAAGAATGTATTTAATTTTCATATGTTACCGAGCTTATTAAAATCACATATATGAGCTGATGCAATGCTTGGTATAGAAATGTTACTGATCATGTCTAGTTTTATGTGAAGTAACTCTCTTGATGTGATCATAGTCTCTTGACCAAGGGCTCTGAACATGAGAGAAACCTAATTGGAGGTTTCTGGAGGCCCACCAGCGGCCGAGCGGTAAAGTCGCTGAACACTGGTAGTTCGGTCTGAGGTTTGAATCCCGCGAACTGGCCGGCTGCATGGGCGTTTTCTTGGTTTTCCCCATGTGTAATGTGTATACGAGCCAGTTTCTCTTAGAAAGTCCTCCACGAAGGCATCCCTCCCTTTAGGCAGGTAGCCCTAGTGTGTTTTGCCATAATTAAATAAAACAAACCAAAACCATGGTTTCAGGTGGGGGAATTTGGTTAGCCTTTTATTTAGCTGTTAAGTATTTAGTTTCAGTGTAATAAAAAGGCTGTTATTTAAGTTTTGGTATTTACTTTTTGTTGTTTAATTTGTAAAACACATTAGAAAATAACCTAAATCTAAAATGTATATGCATTTTTCAAGTTTGGGAAAGGAGGAGGGAATATTCTTTAGGAATATTGAAAGGGGTGCCTAAGGCAAAGAATGTTGAGAACCAGTACCCTAGACAATCTGTGTGAAGCTGACCCAGTTGTTTCTCTGTAATTGAACTGATGCTGTCTTCTTTTGAATTCTGTACTTCTTATCACATTACAGAAATTATTGCATTACCATATTGTACTAGTGGAATACTTCAGTTGGCGTGGATTATCTCATAGAGTTAGAGAGATGTACTTAAAAACGTGTAGTCACTGAAACAGTCTTTTATACTCTGTCTAGCACTCACTTGCACATTGCACCCAGAAAATAATAATAATAATAATAATAATAAACTTTAAAAAAAAAATCTGAAAACTTTTAAATTTGATATTATGCCCAAAGAGGCATTTTTTTTAACATTTTGTGTGTTCACATTATTTACTAAATATCATGCTCTTCGCACTTAAACCGTAAAATTTAATTCAACAGCAATATCACAAAATAATTTTAAAATGAGAATATCTTTAGAATTTCCAATACATAGTTTTGCACGCTGGAGATAATCCCCCCCCCATACAGTGTAGCCATTGCTCGCTTTAAAATCGTTGAGTTTGTTAATCAAAAATTCGGTAAAGGGTTACAAAATATGAAATCTACAGTAAAACAAATTTCAAATTACAAATTATGGATTCCAGATGCCCATATTCGGTGGAAGATAACATTATTCAAAATCTGATGGCTTTAGATACAGTTGTTTTGTCACAGTGTGAGAAACATACATACATTTATGCAGATTCTTCATTATTTAATTTCTTTAAATATAACACAGGGCAATAATATTTGGTCACAACAATTTGAAAAATTAACTGACATTTATATTGAACTAACACAAAATGCCAAAATGAAATTAATAATCCTGGGCAAATTGCCCCTTTGGACTAAAAATCTATTAAATGAAACTTAGAAAATAATTCCTACCAGCGTGATTGTGCGAGTGATATTTCTTTAAATGAAAATCATATGCATGGAAATTTTTTAGTAGCATCAATTTGCATAAAGTTTATGAAAATTTGAACCAAAGTAAACATCATAGAACATTTAATATACAGCTAAAGGTGTTAAATTTTAGACGTAGTTATATTTGTAAACACTTTCACAAATCGGCAAAAGTCTAATTTTTTTTTTTTTTTTTTTTTTTTTTTTGTTTTTTTGTTTAAGAGAGTATTATATATGAAATATATAGTATCTCTGTTAAATAATTATGTGAGTGCTACTTTTTTTTCTTTTTAAGATCATAAGTCAGAAAGATGAACATTGCTGGATTGGTGAATTAAATGGATTGAGAGGTTGGTTCCCTGCTAAATTTGTAGAACTTTTGGATGAAAGGAGCAAACAGGTGTGAAATTTGCTGTTTATAATTTTAGTGTGAATATTTAGTATTTCCAATATCATTGAACACTGAGATTTTTTAATTTAATTTTTCTTTATTTATTTATTTAGTATTCTAGTGCTGGTGATGATTCTGTCACAGAAGTTATCACTGATTTAGCTCGAGGAACGTAAGTCATTTCTTATTTTTATACTTGTGGTAAGCCTGCCAGATAAGCAGGCTGTGCCCAATGCAAAATTTATAAGTTCGATGTACATCTGAAAAGAAAATGCATAAAAACATTTCAGTATGAATGAAATCAGTTCATTCTTTCCAAGCCACAATCAATTCATAAATATTGTTGCCAAACCAGGAAATAAAAACTTTGACACTTCAGGTTAATATGTATGCATATGATGTCATGACTTAAATTTAATGTAATATTACAACTTTTCACAATATCAATAAAAGAATTAACATGGCATTAGTATACTGTATTAGTTATCATAACCTGCAGCAAAGAGGTTGCCAACAGCAGCTATTTATTTAAAACACTGACATGAATGAAAAATTTTTTATGTACAATGACGTCAAATGCAATCGCATGCTTTCTTCAACATGAGGATATGACATTATATAATAAAAACATAATTAATGTTTGGCAGTATTATTTTTATTTCGTATTTTGTAAAACTTACAAATTTTTTATTAACAAACACTATGATTTGAAAGTGAACAGTCTCAATACTTTTTGAAATAAGGCATTTTTATCTCCAGAGACTCCCAAGACTATTACCACCCAGAAATATTAGTGCAAAAATTTGTGTTTTTAGAGTTTTTAATTAATATCTCGCCTGATGTCATACGAAGATGAGAATTGTTGAAATGGCTTCCCAGGAATTTTTGGAATCTGGGGGTACCTCTCTTGAAACACAACTCCCCACCATTCCGGAGGAGCTGATGCCACAAACAGACATGCACAGATTCTAATAGTATAGATTATCTGTTTAAACTAGTAGTTTAGTATTTTCACTTACAAATCAATTGTAATTTGTCAATTTGTAAAACTGAAAATTTTGAAGAATTTCAAATGGGAAGATCTTGCAATGCTATAAAGCTATTTGTTATGTGAGGTTTGTTGGAAATAATACATGTATGATTAAAATTTAAGATTGACAGGACAACACATGAAAATTTTCTTGTTCATTGTTCATCAATTATTATTATTATTTTTTTTTTCATTTTAATTTAAAAATCCACTTTAGCTATATATGCAGTTATTGGGATTTCCCTCCCCCTGTATTTCTTATTTAAAATAAATACTACCTAAATGCACTTTTGTAAGTTTACAGTATATAGTTACCCCCTCCAAATTATGTAATTTGCATGTCACTTTTTTAACTTCTTTGTTTACATAAAATTTTTGCAATTTTTATCAGGTTATGTCCTGCTATAAAAGCTGTTTTGGAACATGGGATGAAAAAATCCTCTATCCTAGGGGGAACATGCCATCCATGGCTGTTTATAGAGGAAGTAGGTTTTAAGTACAAAAAATATTTCTAAATATAATTAACTTCTTTATCTTCTTAATTCAAAAACTTTTCAATCATTTTTCTTATTTTCATATACAGGTAGCGAATAAGGAAGTCGAGAAAGATTTCAATTCTGTATATTCAAGACTGGTGCTGTGCAAAACATTTAGGTAATGTACCCAGCTTTAAGAGTTCTATCTAACTGCTTTTAGAGCTTTAGAATATCTACCTATTAAAATTATCCTGAACTTATTTTTAAAAAGTATGTATTATATTATAAAATAGTAAAACTTATTCAAAAATAAAGTTGTATCATTGGAATAAAAAAAAAACTGTTTTTAGATTTTTTTCATAAAATAATATTTAAAAATAACTTCTGTATGTAAAGAATAATATTTAAAAATATCATTTTTTGAATTTTATTATATTTTAAACTTACACAAATAAATAAAGCCATTATATTTTTACAGGTTAGATGAAGATGGCAAAGTATTAACTCCTGAAGAAATTTTGTATAGAGTAAGGTTATGGATAATGGTGTATTAATGCTGTATAATTCTGTTAATTGTTGACTGAAAGCGTTCATTTCTTAAATTTTTTAATTCACTTTTTTGAAAGTTTATCATAACTTATAATTATTCTTTCAAAATTTGTTTTATGTTTAAACTTGATAATATTTATAATATGTTTATAAGGAAAAATTTCCAGGAGGAATTTTGCTAAAATTATTGCTGTTATATTCTTTTGTGTATTCTAATGAGTTTATGATATGTTTAGATATATATTAATTTATAATTCTAGATTTATAAATTAATTATTATTTGCTGTTACTGAAATGCTTCAGCTATCCTTAAAATGGCTTCTTGTGTAAATTTAATACTTGCTTATGTTTTTTCCCTCTCTTTTTTTTACTTTCTTGTACAAAGGAATTGTAATCGTGAAAAATTTCTGATACCATATTTCGAAGATGAGTTTAGAATCAATGGAAATATCCATTTTGACCGTTCCCGAATACATTAGGATGATTTTTTTTGCATGACTTCTGTATGTAAAGAATAAGCATAGACTCCAACTACTACGGATTCTCCGTAGTTTCTACAGAAATTCATGAGAAACTACGAGCTACGAAAAGTATGGAAAAAACTACGGATTTTACAGAAACAAGAGCAGGAGAACCAGTACGCAAAACGGAACCAACTAATTCATCCGATGATTGGCTGAATACTCGTTTATCATATATCACGTGTTGAGTGCGTTCCTAGTTTTGAAGAATTAGCCAATCGTAGATCAGTAACTCCAACCGTTAACGACTTATCAATAGTTCCACCCAATTGTCTGTCTCCAGGTTCCTCGCTGATGCGTGTTTAGGCTGCATTGTGTATTTACGGCGAGAGCTTAGCGGTGTCTTGTGAACTGTGATATCAGGTGAAAGATTTTTAATCATAATTGCGCCTCGAACGAAGAAGCCAAAATTATCAAAGCAGAAGTTAAAGATTCATATTCTTCAGAATTCCATGCATTAAAGCGTCCGAAATTTCTGTGAATCACGCACACTGCGTGTATGCAACAAAGACTTCTCAGTTGCTCATGGCGGAAAAGAGACTGTAACGGCATGTGTGTTTTCTCAAAAGCATATAGAACTTGGCACCGTAAATCTAAAGAAATAAAAAAATTTCTTAATAAAGATGATGAAACAGATCCTATAAAAGCCGAATGCTATTTTGTTCGTTTTTTTAATTGAACATAATCTACCGCTTTCTGTTTCGGATCATTCCAAAGAGCTTTTTTCAAAGCAATGTTTCCGGATTCTGCCATAGCAAAAAAAATTTAGCTGCGGTCATACCAAAACTGCTGCTATTGTGAAAACGCTTGCAGAAAATACTGTTGCTGATATTATAAAATCAGTGTGCAGTACATCATTTTCTCTAAGTACTGATGGAAGTAATGATAACAATGATAACAAACTGTACCCATTGGTTATAACATACTACAGTAAAGAAAAGGGAGTGATAATACTTCATTGATTTCTATTTTAGAATGCACGAATAATACAGGAGAAGGTATTTTTAATTGTATAAATGAAAACTTTAAAAACAAAGGTTTAGAATGGAAAAATTGCTTATCATTTTCTTCAGATAATGCTAGTAATATGATTGGAAAGTTTTTAAAGGTGTAGCATCATTTATCAAAATGCATCAACCAAGTATATCACCCGAGGTTGTCCGTGCCACCTCTTGCATATAGCTGCAAAAAAAAGCTACTGAAAAATTAATTGGCTCAGAAATTGAAATGTTGATAATAGATATATTTTTACTTGGAGAAAAGTTCGAAATGGAAGCATAGCTTCAAAGTTGCTCACAAATTTTGGGACAGAATGCAAAATCTCATAAAATTTTGAAATATTGCAGTACAAGATGGTTGTCTCTTTTAGAATCTATAACAAGGATTTTTGGAACAGTGGGATGCTGTGATAAATTTTTTTGGAGATAAACAGATAACAGTGAGAATGAAGGAAAGAGATTGCAAAACATTTAAAAAAATTTTACAGTCACCGACCACCAAATTGTACTTGTTATTTGAAAAAATACTTTGCCTTTGTTTATAAAGTAAATATTAATTGCAACAACAAGCTCCTTATATACATAAATTGAGAAGAGACTTTTGTTAGATTTGTAAAACATCAGTAATTTCTAAGAAAATGAAGATGTTACTCTAACGTCTATTCCATTTCGAAGTATATAAACAAAAGAAAATGAAAATTTAGTGATTCGTGCGGAAACAAGACTATATTTAAAAAATGCCAAGTTGAATGAAAGTGAAGTGAAAATCATTTTCAATTCTGTGCGAGCTTTTTTGTAAATGCATGTTCTATATAATTGATAAATTTCCACTGAGTGATCCATTTCTAAAACATGCTGAAGTTGCTGACATCAACTGAGAACTGAAGTCTCATTTCATCGTTCTTACTTGATGAATATTTTCATCCATTATTGATGAAAAATGTCTTAATCAAGTAGAAATTGAATTTTCCAGTATCAAGTAGATGATTTGAAAGAAATTGTAGATTTGCGTATTGATATAGCATGGGGAGAAATGCCAAATTAAAAAATATGAATGGTGTATTAAATACAAAGTATTGCCTTTGTAATGCTTGCTGTCTTAATAATACCTATTCAAAGCAGCTTGCGAAAGAATTTTTTCTATTGTTAAAAAAAATCAAGGAATTTCGACCAAATTTAGGTCTTAAAACTCTTGAAGCAGTTTTGATTGAAAAAAAAATATGCAGGCAAATGAAGAACTGGTTATAAAAAAACATTTCAAAATCAGAACTAAGCTTGCTAAGCATGCTACATATAAATATTTGCATTCATAAATATGCGTATTTGTTAATACTTATATGTATCATTCTTGGTTATTAAATTTTATTTCCCTGTAGAAATCATATCCAGAATAAAGATTGATTTATAGCTTCTGATTTTCTATGATTAGTAGTGATTTGAAGTACTTTTTATTAGTGATGCTTGAGGAGTTAAAAGAAAATTTAATTAAATGTGCATATAATTTACAATGTATATTTTAATTATTCAGTTTTATATGTATTATGATTTTAAATGTAATAAAATTGATTACATTAATTATTAATTTAAAATTAATGAATGGTTAATTACAACATACGTACCGCGCACATTTTCAAGTGTAAAAATGTCGTTCGCGCGTTGACTACTGACAAGGTTTGCTGAAGGTTGGAGTCTATGAATAAGGGACCTTTTTTTTTTTTTCAAAAAGATTGTAAAATGAATTTTTCGTGATGTCTGTACGTATCTATGTATGTATATTACATAACTCAAAAATGATGAGCCATAGTATGTAGAAATTTTGTTGTATGAGACTGCTATAACATCTAGTTTGGGGCAACCTTTTTTTATTACAAGTGTCTGTACCAAGCGTGTTATATATATATACATACATACATACATATATGTATTCACCCCCTTACCTATCTTAAAAGCACTTAGCCGGCCTTTATTTTCGCAATCAATGGTCATAATCACATACTTCATATTATGGAAGTGTTTAAATTAAAATGCATGTTCTGGCAATGTCAAATATAAAAAAAAAAAAAAAAAATTGTTTTAAAATAATTAAATCTAAACTACATATATATATATATATAAGTTATATACTGTTTATTATTGTAAAACTTAAAAATTTTGATATCATTATTTTTGTCAAAAAGGATATATAATAGCGTACAGGAATCTGTGCTGCTGTATCAAAATTTTTATTAAATTTTCACTGCATTATGTTCTCAGTGAAAAAAACTTTTATGTAATGGAGGGTGTGGTGATGTGAATATACTATATTTAAAATTATTTTCAATCTTATTTTAATTGTTAAATTTTAGTTGTTTAATTGTTCTTATTTTAATTGTTTAATTGTTCTTAATTGTTAATTTCAGGAATACATTTTAAAGTCTTAAGAACTTTTAAAAACAAATTCTATTAACATCTAAATTAATATCATAATTTTAGATTTACTGCGGTACATAAAATAATGCCTGAAGCTATTAGATTTTTTTTTAATAAACTGTAATTAAATTTACATGAATTGATTGTAATGATCTTTTGCAGTACATAAAATAATGCCTGAAGCTATAGTTTTTTAATAACTGCAATTAATTACAGATTTATGTAGTATCTTTATTTTGGAATAAAATTTAATTAACTTTTCTTAACAAATTCAGTAATGCCATTCTGAATAAAGAATTATAAATAACTGGATTTAATTTTTTTGTGTTATATAATCATGTAAAATTAGATAAGATTTTATATGTAGCATTAATTGTTAAACAGTTATTTTTCAATATAATTAAAAATTAGTAATGATTAAATAAATTTATAACTCTTTCCTCCTTTTTTTTTAATGAATGTGATTTTTGCACATTTTAACAATTCTTTGAAAAGGATTGTATTAATGGGAAATGTTTTTGCATTCGTAGTCTGTTCAAGCAATAAATTTATCTCATGATGCTGCAAATGCACAAATGGATGTGAAACTTCGTTCCTTGGTGTGCATTGGCTTAAAGTGAGTTAATAAAATTTTAATATATGTATCCCATCTACAGCTTTTCATTAAGTACTAATATTTAAATTATGGATACTTGCTAATATAATGTGGTTCTGAATAATTTGAATTTAGCTTTGTGTATGACGTGTCTAATCTGATTTCAGAATAATTCAATTAATTGTTTTATACATAAATTGTAGATGAAAAAGTAATCTTGTTCTCAGAAGTCTCAAACTTTATTATGTATTTCCAAAAATTTTAGGCTTGAACAATTTTTAAAGAAAATTATTTTATATATTAGAAAATGTATTAGAAAATCAATACAGTCAAAAGTCGTTAATTCGGACACCCATAATCTGGAATGATCTATAATCTGGACCTCAAAGCTACAAACTTTCTGCGCATGCATCGCGTTGACGCATGACCTTACGGCTGTGAATATGCGTGTGCGCAAAATACGTTTACGAATGTGCGTTTAATGTATAGCGGACGGTATAAGCTAAGCTAAAATTATCTAATTCAGTTAATGTTGCAGATTGCGTTGTTCCTTAATCTTCGAATTGGATTTGGCTTATTATTTTTTGCAGACTGTTAGAGCAATTTTATAAAAGTAAGCTTGAACTTTCGATTATGTCAAATAGAATTTCTGATATATATTTACTAATATGTAAAGGATCTACAAAGCAAAGTATGTTTGAAGTCCATTAAACAAAAAGTGGAATTGCTGCAAAAAATGGATAAAGGCATATCCTTTTTATCTAAACTTTGTTATTGGAAGTTGATCTGTCAGCACTATCCTTATCTTCAGGCAGATGTTTTTATTTTATTTGGCTTATAATTCCTTACTAAATGTAGTATTTCATCTCGATGTACTCCGTCTTTGATATGATTTAAATCAAATTCCTCGTCATTATAATTCGCTTCCGATAGCAAGAAAGTGACAGAGGTTATTGAAAACGAAAAAAATTTCGATTGAGAAATTAGTCGGTATTCTCGACACAGCAATTATAGGACTTGAACAGTGGAACTTTGTAACTGAACAAGAAATTATGTCTGGTTATGAATTAAAGAGAATGTATTATCACATAAAAA